GAGGATGTTGGAATGGTTAGCTCGATAGCATGCTTCGTTGTATATCTCGTGTGGGCATCGACATTAGAGATGCAGAGATAAATACGGTCACGGTACACTTGTCGTGTAGTATGAATTCTCGGTAGAATCCAGGGTGGCCCTAGCCTCTCCAGTTGAGGCGGAGTGTAAATTTGTGTCGCCTTTGAAAGAGGCCTTGTAGAACTGCACATGACATGAAACGATGACCCACATATTCCGTGATATTCTATACGATGCATAGATGGTCAAATGTTAGCTGTGACGGCCATGCAACATCCACGCGTCCACACGTCATTCAACGACGATGTTGGCTGGACACTTGTAGCCCAACTCCTTTCCCTTGTACTTACAAGACACTATTGTTCTGCGATCACACAACATTCTCTTTCCAACTCTTGTCTCCAAGCCCCACTCGTAGCAGATGGAGAGACATGGCGTCGGGGTCGGTGAGTATTCTGGAACTGGCCCGGTAACAGCGAGTTTATTGAGAAGCGGCGTTGGGAGCCCGTTAACAGGCTGTTTCATTCGTTTGTATGGTAATCGACGATGACGCTGCACTTGAGGTGAATGTGGGGCAGATGACGTTGTGTGGCCACTGCGACTATAAAGCCTCTCGTCGTCATTTCTCTTCCTTTTCTCATCCACTCTACTCCCTCCCTCTTACTCTCCCAAAATATATAACTAGAAAAAACCCTCGATACACGATGCGTTTTGCAGCTCTTTCTGTGCTCTTCCTCGCCACCGCCGGACCTACGCTCGCCTCGAGCTGGTTTGGCGCCGACGAGAAGAAACCGTGGACTCAGGAGCAGCTAGACAAGGCCCAAAAGGTCTATGGTGAATACAAGGACGAGGCCTTTGACTCATGGACGGAGAGTCGGCTGAGGCAGTTCTTGCTCGACCAGGGCGTCATCGAGCCCAAGGGCACGCGAGAACAACTCGCACAAATGGCTAGAAATCAGTGCGTGGAATTGTTTGTGAGGTGAACTGATACTAATGGTGAGGGTATAGACGCAAGGCATTCAACTCTGCACTCTCTAGTGCGTCGGCGAGTGCTTCGACGGCCATTTATGGAGACAGCTACTACCAGGCGACCCAGTCCGCCTCGTCTGCAGCCACCAAGGCCACCGAATACGTAAAAGATAGTCTGGACGACACCAGAGATTATATTTATTCGACATGGGACGACAACCAACTCCGCACCTATCTCGAATCCAAGGGTATCATTCGCACCCACGCTCAAGTCACTCGCGACGAGATGTTGGCCAAGATGAGGGAAGCCTATGCATCCGCTTCGGATCCCGTCTATGCCGCTTGGAGCGATAGCTACATTCGTCGATGGTTGATTGATCACAACATCGTCTCAGAACCTCCCAGCACTCGCGACAAACTTCTTGCCACTATGAACAAGTATTACTATGACAGCAAGGTATGATTGACCTCCTTTGATGCGACTCTTGTTGACTTTTGTGCCAGGACTACGTCTGGTCTTCTTGGACCGATAGCGATCTCCACGACTGGCTCGTCCAACACAACGTCATCAAGTCGGAAGCTCAAGTCAAGCGTGACAAGATGCTCAAGATGGTTCAGGACAACTACCTCTCTGCCACCAACACCTTCTGGGACGCCTGGACCGAATCTGAACTCCGCGCCTGGTTGATCGAGCACGGCTACATGCGCACCGACGCCCAAGTCAAGCGTGACGAACTAGTCGCTCTCGCCAACTCCAAGTGAGTCTTCTCTCCTTACATCACTCTCCCCTTTGTCTCTACCATCGTCTATGACCTTTCTGTTCTGATACCAATTACTAATCTACAGGTACACCCATGCTGCTAACAGGTCCGCCGAGTACCTCACATGGCCCGACGCACGTCTCCGTGCCTATCTCCGCATGCACGGTCTCCCCGAATCACAATTACCCACCACTCGCCCTGGTCTCCTCCACGAAGTCCGCATCCGCTACGTCATTGCCCAAACCAAGATCGACAATCTCCTCCAAAGCATCAAGGATGCCGTTTATGGATCTGTAGAGACGGCCGAGGAAAAGTTGAACAATGTCTTGCACATGCTTACGGGCGCGAAGGAGAGTGCAAAGGGTGAGGCCGAGGCAAAGAAGCGCCAGGCCTATAGTGCTGCAGATAAGGCAGCCAAGGATGCTCAGGTTAAAGCTGAAGAGTTGAAGGCTGAGGCTAAGAAGCTCAAGTCGGAACTCTAAGCTCTGAGTAAACTGCTCGCGTGAATGACGATTGGAACGAAGCAAATACGACTCGACAAAATATTATTCACCTATGATGCTACACGAACAATTGCATCCCCGCTATAAACCCGCACACCACCTACACTCTCTGCTCCCTACTCCTGCTGCTTATGATATGATCGACCTTGTTACCTTAGCTCCTGTATGAATAGCTAGTCTGCATTGTATATTGATACAATTGCTCCATCACTTTTATTTCGTTGAGGTAATTTCTGAGAGTGAGCCTGTTGACCATTCTGAGGAGGTCCAAGGCGCTAACCAAACAGTGCACCAAACTTGAGCTTCGCCGCGTCTCCAGCAAACCACTCCAACCGTCTTCGACAAGCCCCCATAAAACTTATTTCACGCGTCTTGGACTAAATTAAACGCGTATCTCTCCACGTTTGTACCATTACGACCAATTAGAATGATACGTGAAGGGACTGATTATTTCTGGTACCAGAGGATGATTGCGATACGTGGTATTGATTTCACGAGTCCCGCTCGAGCGAGGTTCAGCGATAATTACCAGTTCAAAATCACGTTCGAGTGCATGGCTCCACTTGAGGATGGTACGTATTTCCATGCTCCTTTTCCGCTGTTTCTCAAAATGTTGAGCTGACGCGCCTATTTCGTCACCTTTCTTTCAAACGTCAACTCTACATTCCCTCTGGTATATTTGAATGTCTATTACATCCTTCGTCCTACTCTACATGTGGAAAATCCAAAAATTCAACGACAGACGTCGAGTGGAAACTCATCTTTGTCGCGTCGCCAGATCACCTCGAGCTAGACCAAGAGCTCGACGACTGTCTCGTGGGTCCCATCCCCGTCGGCATCAACTCGTTCGAATTCGACGCGGGCCCACCCAACCCGTCCAAGATTCCCGACGAAGACATTCTCGGTGTGGCCGCCATCATCCTCACGGGCGCATACAAGGACCAAGAGTTTGTCCGTGTGGGGTATTATCAAAATACAGAGTATGATAATCCAGAGATGAACGAAACGCCTCCTGCACGACCGAGATATGAGAGGCTTATCAGGGAGCTCGCGGATAAACCGAGAGTCACAAGGTTCAACATTCGATGGTGAGTTGAATATACCGAGTTTGTTTATTCATTTAGCCTTTTCTGTGGTATCTCTGCGGGCTTGTTGAGAGGGTTATTTTGGGATGAACAAGAGTTACTGACATTATGTTTGCAGGGACAATACTCCAAACCCACCGCTACCACAAACTGGACAAGTACAATCGGTTCCTGGAGCTGCGTTCCCTCGAGACTATAGCGGGCAGTATGAACAGCAAGCTCCACTAGAATCGGCATTTGTTCCAAACGCCAACGACCACCCTTCCATGGCTCTCGGTTAAAGCTTTATACCTCATAATACCAGCACTTCAATAGCTCTGATAATCGATATCCCCGTAGGTTCGTAAGGCTCCTAGAAGTCCCTTGTTTATCACTTGTTTTTTTACTGGAATCTTTTTTCTTGTCAAAATGTTTTCTTTGAATCTAAAGTCTCTTGCTTCAAATTGCCAATACAATTGAGACAACCAGAACAGAATACAGAGAAATAGTGTTCACTCCCCAAGGTTGTCAATAGCCTCGCCGCTCTTCTAGACAACATGGACATAAGATAGCAACTCGACAAAGAAATAAATGGATTTTGTTTAATCATGACCGTCACAGCTTTGCGCCCCTTTATCTAGAACCCAAGATGCCGCGCAAAGATCAACCCATTTTTAAATGTTACAGGCCTTTGCCTTCCCATGTCGTCTCCAAACCAGCCTTGCTAACACGTCGGATCGGTTGAAGGGTAAACTCATCGACTGGAGCCCGCCTCGCGTGTCGATAACGTCCTTCCGCGTCCCTCACCTCCATCTCTTCGCCCACATCTCGGAGAGGAACGTGACCCTTGCCACCCATTGGCCCAGCACTCATGAGTTGTCCATTTGCCATTTCGCCGCCGGCCATGCTTCCTTTTCCACTCAATGGGTACTCTCCACTGATACCTCCCGAAAAAGTGTCGTGTTCTCCGACGGTCGCGAGGGCACTATAGCTCTGCACGATAGGGGGCATACTCTCACGGAGGTGAGCGAAGAGAT